ATGAATATACAAACATACACATATATACATATACATTTATGCATATATATGTATACGCACACACATATAATCTAGAATAAAAACAAACATAACATATTCTTAACAAAACAAGATTATACTATGTATATAGTATTTGGTAATCTTCAAATGTTCTCAACATTATGGCATTTTTGTGTCAAATGGCTGCGTAATATTCTCTTGTATGGCACACCATAAACAACCTACCAGATCCTATTTTCAGACTTATAGGTTATTTCAAATTCTTAGGACATCCTTGTATGTACAGGATTTCACCAAATTTAAGATACCATTGATGAGAAGACCCATATCAATTTCAGGTCAAAATGAAAAACTTGCAACTCAGAATTTATGAAATGTGGTACATCTTTGCACAATAGCATGATTTTAATCTTGAGAAATATTCTTAGAAGTGGAATTTCTGGGTCTGAGTGTGTGAGCATTTTTAGTTTTTTAGATACATATTGTCAAATTCCCTCCAATTTCTTCTCTACATACAATGTATGAATATGATTTTTCCCCCTATAGTCTTGCCAACTTTGGATGTTAAGATTTTTATTCATATTTATTAACCCAACAGGTCAAAATTTGCATCTCACTTTAGTTTTAATTTGATTATTATGAGGTCAGACCAACACTGATATATTTATTGGTCCTTTGTTTTTCATACATTATGACTTGCCAAGGTATTATAAATGTCATGTTGCCCTAAACTGGCCAGCTTAAAAAAAAAAAAAAAAGTCACACTGATCTTCTGACTCTCTCCTGGGAAGACATTTGAGGAGGCATGCTTGTCTCTTAGGATCACAGGGTCATGCGTACTACCTGCCCATGCCTTAATCTAGAAAACCACTGTTTGGATCTTTATTAGATGACAATATTGCTCATCTCAAAGCCTTATGATGACAACTGCCTTGCTCTATGTGTATCCTTGTGCCCCTGCATCCCACCCCAACAATCTGGGAGGGAACACCTGGATCACGTGTAGTAGGAGAGGTTTGGTTATTCTGCACGTGCTACTCTCAACTCCACCACCAAGGCCACCTTATTTTTTCCTATCTAAAAACTTAATATCTAAAATGTTCACTGAAGAGCTGTACATAATATTTTAAAATTGAAAATAACCCAAAGTCTACCAATAGGAAACTATTTACATAAGTTATGATACATTGATGGAATAATATGTGGCCATTAAAATTGTATTGAAGCATAATATTTAATGAGTAAGAATGTCCTCAATATAATGTTACCTAAGAATTTATGTTTACAAAATAATATGG